CGAGGCTTGCCGACGGCTGTTTTGCCGCCATATCGCCTGCTTCTGCTCAGCCTCTGTACGCTGTAAGGTCCGGTGACCGCGCCAGTCAGTCGAGCCGAGCGTCTGGCCGGCGCCCGCCGATAAGCGGCGCCCGGCAGGTGGGCGGCTATTAATGATATTGACGGCCCCTGCGGCCGCCGCGCTCGATCGCCGCCGGCGGTCGCGTGCAAAGCCGGAGTGTGGGAGGAGTCGGGCTAATAATGGGGCGGAAGTTTGTCTGGCAGGACGGCCGCTCCGATCGGCTGGGGTGATCAGCCGAGCGAGGTCCGTCGTGACGTCTGACCGCCGAGGCCTGGTCACTGATGAGCGGGTGGTCGCGGTGCCGACTGAATGTCTCCCCCCCCCCTTGCCCCGCCTTTGGCAAAACCTGCGGCGAATAGTTGATGTTGCTTGAGTAGAATGGACAGTGTGGCGCGTATTTGCCGTCTCCGCTCAAGCGTAGTTCACCCGTTCCCCCGTACCCACGCGTGATGATGGCAGCAGGCACTTGGTGAGACAGTGCCCCCTCCTACACCGTTGGATTGTCGCCGCTAGCCTGCCAGCCCGTGCCGTGCTGCCGAACTGTGCCGCCGCGCCGATGCGTGCCTTGTCAGGGGAACCGGCGGTGCAGGCGATGTGCGCCCGTGTTCCTCACCCGTCCCGCGTCGCCCGGCTGCGCAGGAGGAGCGGCCGCCGTCGTCGGGCCTGCCGCCGCCGCCGGGGCGGCAGGACTCGGACGACTCGGAGGAGGACTCGGACCGGGCCATGCCCGACCTGGTGGAGGTGGCGCACCACCTGCCGGGCCGCGTGAAGCGGGCCGAGCTGCGCTCCATCCGCAGTCAGCTGCAGCGCGGCATGAGCGACGAGCAGCGCCGCCAGGAGAGACAGTCAGTGGCGCCGGGGGCCGCCGGAAGCGGGCAGTGTCTGGGCGGGGGCGGGGCAGCCACAAGAGATAATCATTGGCGTCCGGGGTCGGAAGGGGGGGGGGGCAGCGCCGCCACGAGAGACAGTCAGTGGCATCCGGGGCCGGCGGGAGCAGACAGTGTCTGGGGGGGGGGGGGGAGGGGGGATGCAGCGTCGCCACGAGAGACAGTCGGTGCCGCCAGGGGTCGCCGGGAGCGGACAGTGTCATGGAGAGGGGGGGGGGGGGGGAGGAGGAGGGAGCCGCCACGAGAGACTATCAGGCACCGCCATGGGCCGCCGGGAGCGGACAGTGTTTGAGGGAGGGGGGGGCAGCACCGCCACGAGAGACAGTCGGTGCCGCTAGCGGCCGGCGGGAGCGGACAGTGGCGGGGCGGGGGGCGGGGCAGTGCCACCAGAGGAAGCACCACGTTACTCAACCCGGGGCTCGGGGAGGCACTGCAATCAAAGTTGGGGGAAGCGGAAAATTGCGGGCGAGGGTCGACAGAGAGCGTACATTAACTCCAGCTTGTATCGTTGCCGTCAAAATTGTATGGCCCAGGGGTGGCAAGAGCTGTAGATAAATGAGACTTGCTGTGTATTGCATTGCTAGGCGAAACAGGCTGCCCGGTGGCTTAAGGCCGTCACGCGCCATGAAATAACGTCGCAGATTGCCAGCGCTGTACAGCCAGACCGGCGGCTGGAACGGTGAGGGGTCAGGGGCAGGGTGCCATCTGCCAGGACGTGTAAGATTTCGCCTGATACGTGATCTGGGAAGGGACTCATACCGGACGCCAGAATGCTGCGCATGCTTAGCAAGCATAGTATCAGTGTATATCGATGAAAAGAGGACAGCTGGAAGGTAGTGACTGTAGGGGCGAGAGCCCCTACAATTGAGCCCCCACCAGGGCCTCAGAAAGGGGCTGGGCGCGTTGCCACAGCTGTTGCGGGAGGCATTGTTTGTTCTGCGGAATGAACCTCGGCTGCCGATACGTTACAAATGGTGACTTTTTGCGCCTTTGGCACGCCATTGGAGGATATTAATGTCTACTGGTCGTTAAACTTGCCTCCAGTTTGACTTGGCCTTCGGTTTATTATGGCCCGAACCGGCCACGTGGGGTGTTATTGGCACCTGGACCGAGTCAGCTGCTGCGAGCTGCTATGTGCAACGGAAGTAACCTCGGCCACCATTGGCGAGCTCGGGTCGCGCTGAGAGAGCTCGGCCAATGGCGTGACGCCGCACAAACAGCAGCGCCTGAGCGCCGCCTGACCTGACCTGACCTGACCTGAGCGCCGCGCTCCGCAGGGTGGAGCGGGACCAGATGGCCGCCATACTGGACCTGATGCAGAAGAACAGCGACAAGTTCGGCAGCCCGTCGCTGGACGACATGCAGTCGCAGCTGAAGCTCTACATGTGAGCTGCGCGCCCGCTCCGGTCCTCCGTGCGGGATGTACACCCGCCCCGGCCGGATCTCCGCGCGGGATGTACACCTGCCCCGGTGGGATCTCCGCGCGGGATGTATGCCCCGGCCGGATCTCTGGATCTCTCGGGATGCCCCGGCCGGATCTCGGTGTGGGATGTACACCTGCCCCGGCCGGATCTCCGCGCGGGATGTATGCCCCGGCCGGATCTCTGGATCTCCGCGCGGGATGTACCCCGCCCCGGCCGGATTTCCGCGCGCGATGTACCCGCCCCGGTCGGATCTCGGTGTGGGATGTACCCCCGCCATCTACGGCTCGTGCTGTGAGCGGCGGGACACTGTTCGCTGGAGATAACGTGCTCCCCCATCCCACCCCATCCCTACACCCCCGGTGAAGCCCGTGACGCGGCCGCTGCTGGGGCGGTGTCGATGACGCACCTGTGCACGAGTCTCTGTGTCTGAGATGAAGTGCACGAGTCTCTGTGTCTGAAGCGTATGGCTGAACGGAATAGATATGCAAGGCATTGACTCCACGCAAGCTATCGGTTCAAAGTCCTGTAGGCCAGTCAGTGTCCTTCCGTTTCGCGGCTGTTTTAAGTGCTACGGGCAAGTCATTTCAGCTTAGGGATAACTTTATTTAAACGTCTGTGATATGGATTATATAATGTCATGGCTAGGCTTGCGTGCAGACATGTATTCGTGTTTTTGTCTTAGCACAGCTTACCGTGCATTATTATGTACTATGCTATCGTTGTTAGCTATGTTCAGTGATTTGTGTTATTGCTAGCTTCACATATGAGCACTTCACTTCTAGTCAAGTTGCTGCGTGAGCAGTGATGTACAAACAGGGTGTCCACGGGAGAAAAACTGCCCAGCTTTCAGACTATCCGGGAAGGGGCTGGGGAAGTACAGGTGTTCCTGTACTTAACGTTTTTTTGTTCTGGCACGTAGCTGAGTGGACTGATGCGTATTTGTCACATTTAAGGCGGTCAGTCCCGCAGCGTGGATTGAGACATAGCACATGACATGCTTTTCATTGAATAGGCCAGGAAGGGGATGCGTGGTTTTAACCAGTGCTTGCCTATTTCTATTCAGCGGGCTTTATTGCTGAAAAAGTGGTCCGAAGATTCAGTGCCATGACGTGTCGCCTGTGTAAGCGCTTGATGGTCGTGGCCGTCAAAGGACCACATCGTGTGATGCTAGTTGGCGCCACGCCGCCCGTTGGCTTTTGGCGGAGCGTTGTTGCGTTGAACGTTGTGTGGTGTCGCGTCTGGCGATTACGTAGCGATCTCCCCCATATGCTTAATGAGCGATGGTCAGATGGGTAAGATGTCATCATTATCTGGACAACATAGCGTGATCCGCGTGTGTGTGTGTGTGCCGTTGAGGCTTTCCGACGCACTTAGCTGCTGAGACCTATATGGCGCCTCCTGCCTCTCGCCCTGGCACCGCGGGGAATCGAACCCCGTACCTCTAGTTTCCCAGACGCGCAGTGGTTGACGCAGACACGTTAGCCACTACATTACCGGCACCCGTGTGGTCCATGCGTAGACATTTTGCATGTGGCCACATACTGGTACTTCCTATGTATGCTGTCGCGAGATAGATTCTACGGTATCTGTAGAGTACGTTACCTGGCACCGACGTGATGCTGTCATCCCAGTTCAAAATGGACCGTGAATAGATATGTCGGATGTTGCGTCGCGTCACCAGTTTCTAATCTCGCACGACTTTTGCCACGTGCGGTAAGCCTCACTGCACTCCCGCAGTTCCTCCGTCCAGAGCCGAGCTCCTGCTTGCCGCTGGCCAGCGCTGCACGATCGCCGCGTTCGGCGAGTCTGAGGTGTATTATGGCCGTGGTGCGCCACACCAGCTCCGCGACGATGCGTCGCTGGAGGCAGACGTGGGTCACGACGGACGGGGCAGACGATGGAGTCGATCTCGGATGTATGACCCGTCGGAAGTGGGGACAGATCGCGACAAGACACTGCCGGAGGCAGCCGTGGGGCCATGGTGGGCGAAGCAGACGATGGGGTTGGTTTCGGATGTATAACCCGCCGGAAGTGGAACAGAGCCAGCACTGGACTGTTGCCTCCTCACAGTACGTACACAGACGCCCGTCTTGTGGAGTGTGGCCTTTGAAGTCACCCTGATCTCACGCCCGTCTGCTGGCGTTGCTTACGAGCTGCTGCATCTGCTTTTGCTATGGGATGTTTCGACCCCTCGGTGAGAGCCTGTCGACGTTTGTGTATTGTCAGTCCTGCATGACGCTTCCCAGCGAGTGTTGGCTGTCCCCAGTGAGTGCTGTTGTCCCCAGCGAGTGTTGGCTGTCCCCAGTGAATCCTGTTATCCCCAGTGAGTGCTTTGTCCCCAGCGAGTGTTGGCTGCCCCCAGCGTGTCTACGGGATGTGGTGCGATCAACCAATGTAAACTCCAGCCAGTGAGGCATGGCTGGCCGGCCCGCCGTGCTCAGAAGAAGTCCTCTTCGTTTGCGTTGGGCTCTGGCGTCGCCTCCTCGTCCTCCGCGCTGGTGGTTCCGGGTTCAGTGGCCGCCTGACCCTCCGTAGTGGCGTCTCCTCCCGTCTGGGAGGCCGCTGCCGCTGGCGGCGCGTCTCCCTCCGCCGATGCGTCCGCCTCCGATGCGCCCGTCTCCTGGGCTGTACCGTCGGCCTCTCCTTCGGTCTCCGAGACGCCGGTCTCCTCGGCCGTCTCCTGGGCCGTGCTGTCGGCTCCTTCCGTCTCCGAGACACCGGTCTCCTCGGTCATCTGGGCCGTGCTGTCGGCTTCTTCTGTCGCCGAAACACCGGTCTCGTCGGTCATCTGGGCCGTGCTGTCGGCTTCCCCTTCTGTCGTCGAAGCACCGGTCTCCTCGGCAGTCTCCTGGGCTGCGCCACCACCCTCGCCCTCGGTCTCGGAGGCTCCAGTCTCTTCAGCAGTCTCTTGGACTTCTTCGTTGGTTTCTCCCCCTGCCTCCGATGCTGCCATCTCTTCGGAGCCATCCTCGGTCACCCCGCTTGGCTCCTGCTCCGCCGCTGGCGGCCCGTCGAGTCCCATTTGCCCGTCCATTGACCCCGTAGTATTACCAACGGTCTCCTCTGTTGTCTCCTCCGCTGTCCCTTCAGCCGTCTCCTCCGCCGTCTCCTCTGCCGTCTCCTCCGCGGTCTCCCCTGCCGTATCATCTCCCGCCTCCACCGCCGTCTCTCCAGCCATCTCGTTCGCCGTCTCTCCTCCCACTTCGTCCGCAGTCTCCTCCGTTGTCTCCCCTCCCATCTCCTCCTCCGTCTGCCCCGTCACCTCCCCCGAGCTCAGCGACGTCCGGTCGGTGGCGTCGGCCTCCGTCTCCCCAGCCGCTTCGCCGCCGTCCGCGGCGGCCAGGTCCGCGCCGGACGTCGCCTCTCCTGGACTCGCCGCGCCATCGCCGCCGTCGTCGGCCGGCTGCGCGTCCGCCGTCGTGCCGAAGCCGAGGTCCGCGTCCGCTTCGGCCCCGGCGTCGGCCAGCGACGGCCGCGACCCCGTCTGGCTGCCGGTACCGGCCAGCGAGCCCGAGCTGCGGCCGGTGCGGCTGGCGCTGACGCTCGGCGGCGCGTCCGACTCGGTCGCCGTCTCGCCCTCCTCTCCATGATCGGTCGCGACCTCCGACGCGACACCGCCGGCCTCCGCATCGGACTGGCCCGTCTGGTCGGCGTCGGCGTCCGTTGTCTCCGTGTCGTCCGCCGCGCCGCCGCCAAAGTCGTCGAACGGGTCGGCGGCGTCGCCGTCGGTCGGCCCGCCGTCGGAGGTCGGCTGGCCGGGCGAGGTCGTGCCGCTGGCGCTGTGCGCCGACCCGGCGCGCGGCGTCGCCTCGCCGCTGCCCGGCGTCGGCTCCTCGGCGCCGTCCTCCCCAGCCGTCAGCGTAGCCTGGCTGTCGCTGCGCGGCTGCTCGCCGTCGTCCGTCTGGTCGATGGACCCGCCGTCGGCGTCGGTCTGCGGCAGCGTTTGGTCCTCGTCGGCGTCGGTCTGCGCCAGCGATTGGTCCTCGTTGGCGTCGGTCTGCTGGCGGCGATTGGTCCTCGTCGGCGTCGGTCTGCGCCAGAGACGTGTCCTCGTCCTCCGCCGGCGCGGACTGCTGCTCTTCGGCTAGCCTGGCCGCCGATTCGCCCTCTTCGTCTATTCGGCTGAGGGACTTGGCGTCCTCGTCCGTCTGGTCGGAGGGTTTGTAATCGCTGTCACTCTGCGCGATGGTGTCTTCTTCCCCGCCGCTGCCACCTAACGGCTGGTCTTCTCCGTCACTCGTAGCAGGAGGCTGTTCCTCTCCATCGGTTTGTGCGGGTGATCCTCCCTCCTCATCCATGTCAGGGGCATTCTGAGCACTTTCACCCTCCCCTTCCGTCTCCTGGTCGCTCCGACCACCTTCCCCTTCTACTTCTGTCTCCTCTTGGCTACTTTGATCACCTTCGCCGTCTCCTTCTGTTTCCTCTTCGCCGCCCTCCCCACCTTCCACGCCTTCGTCCGTCTCGGCGTCGCTCTTGACACCTTCGCCATCGCCATCTGCCTCAGCGTCCTCCTCTTCCTCCCCATCTGCCCCAGCTTCGCCATGTTCACCTTCTTCATCTCCCTCCGTCTCAGCACCGCTCCGCGCACCATCTTCCTCTCCGTCCGTCTCGGGGGCGCTCTGCTCACCCTCCTCTCCTTCGCTCCTCTGCCCGCTGGAAGCTGCGGGGTCTTCCGCGGTGTCCTGGTCACCCATCAACATCTTTTTCCTTTCCTCGGCCAGCTGAGACTCGATGCCGTCGAGGCGGCGCTGCTCCAGCTCGTCTTGGCGCAGCGACTCCTGACGGTGCGCCTGCAGCTCCTCCATCTGGCTGGAGATGCGCCGCTCCTCCACGTCCTGCTGCGAGATGCGCTCCTGCAGCCGACTCCACTCCTGCGACACCGTCTTCCGCTCCTGCTCGATCCGGCTCCGTTCCGCCTGCAGCTCGTCGCGTTCGTCGCGCGGCGCCGGCTCCTGCTCGTCGGCACCGGCCGCTAGCGCCTCCAGCCGCGCTCGCTCCTCGTCCAGACACTGCCGCTCCTCCTCCAGGCACAGACGCTCTTCCTCCAGCCGGTCGCTCTCCTCCTCTAGCCGCTTGCGCTCTCTCTCCAGCTCCTTCTTTTTCTTTTGCAGGCCCTTGCATCCACCCTTGCTGCGGCGGCGGCGGCGGCAACCGCCGCTGCTCGGCCGCGGATTCCTTTTGACCGCCGTCGGGCCTACCAGCGGGCGAATGGCCGGCGGCCTGCCGCCGCAGTTGGAGTACATCTCCACGGCCGAGCAGATGGTGCCCTTGCGCGCGTTCAGCACGGGAATGCGCTTCCCGCGCAGCGTGTACTGCGGATCGATGCAGTTGTGCTTGGGCACCCTCCTGCCAAACATGTCCCACGCCTGCTGAGCGCAGTCGGACCGCACCACGGTCGTGATTCGAGGCGGCTTCGAGCAGGGCGGCCCGGAGCGGCCGGGCGGCGGCAGGCACGGCCAGCCGAGCGGCGCGCCGCCGCCGGCCGCCGAGGCGGCCTGCAGGGCGCGCCTGCCGGCAGACGCACGCCGCCGGCCGCCGGAGGAGCGCCGCCGGCCGCCGCCGGACCCACGCCGCCGCGTCGAGGCGCTGCTAGCACGCGAAGACACCGACACCGACTCCGCGTCCTCCTCGTCTTCAGGCTCCAGCACCGGCTCCTCCGCGTCCTCCGCCGCGAACCCTGCCGCCGAGCTTGCGGCGGCGGCTGCCCCTAATGCGGCGTCGGTGTCGGCGCTCCTCCCGGCATCCTGCTGGGGCCCGACGGTGTCGGCGTCGGTGGCGGACGCCCCGGTCAGCGGCGCGGTGCCACTGGCGGAGGACACGGCGAACACGTCCCGCCGCGAGGCGCTGCTGGCGCTTGACGCAGCGGCGGCCGAGGAGGAGCTGGCGGTAGCCGACGCGCGGCTGCCGGTCTGCGAGGCCGTCACGCTGCCGGAGGCCGACCGAGCCACGCCACCCTGTGAGGCGCTGGTGAACACTTGGCCGCTGGGGCTGGAGGAGGCCGCCTCACTGCTGCTCGTCGCGAGCGGGCCGCTCCCGCCGGCGGACATCTTCTGACTCAGGTTCGGCGACATCTGGCCGCTGCCCGCCGGCGAAACCTGTCCGCTGGTGGTGGAGGCCACCCGCCCGCTGTGGCTGGATGACACCCGACCGCTGCGAGACGGGTTGACCTGACCGCTGGCGCTGGAGGAGACCCTGCCACTCGGACCCGACGACAGCTGGCCGCTGTGGGTCGGTGACACCTGGCCGCTGGCGCTGGTGGACAGCCGGCCGCTGTGGGTGGACGGCACGCGTCCGCTCTGAGTGGGAGAGATTTGTCCGCTGGTGTGGGAAGACGCCCTCCCGCCGGGGCTGGACGACAGCTCTCCACTCCGCGCTGGTGAGACCTGCCCGCTGCCCGGCGTGGACACCTGCCCGCTGGCGCTGGGCGACATTTGTCCACTCCTCGCGGGCGACACCTGTCCACTCCCGCTGGCGTACACCCGGCCGCTGGAGCTGGCCCCCAGCTGGCCGCTGGCGGCCGCCGACGCCTCGTCTCCGGACTGGGACCGCGCCGCGCTCGCACGGGACGCCGCGGCCGACAGCTGCGCGCTGCTGGCCGCCGCGGCCTGCGAGCTGCTGGCAGTCACGCTGCCGGCCGCGCTGGCGCCGCCCAGGGACGCGCGAGAGCCGGGCTCGGCGGCGCCGTCCGTGCGCGACGCGGCCGCGCTCGGTGCGCCGCTTCCTGACGTCACACCGCCGGCGGCGCTGGAGGAGGGCGTGGCCGCGCCGGAGCCGGCCGTGCTCGTCTCCGTCTGCGGGTCAATCTCGGAGGAGGAAGACACGCCCACCTTCGACCCGGCCTGGGTCAGGCGCTGAGACGGCGCCTGGCCCAAAAGTTGTGAGGATGTTTGCGCCAGGCGTTGTGACGACGTTTGCGCCAGACGTTGGGACGACGTTTGCGCCAGGCGTTGGGACGACGTTTGCGCCAGGCGTTGGGACGGTGTCTGCGCCAGGCGTTGGGACGAGGTTTTCGCCAGACGTTCGGACGAGGTTTGCGCCAGCCGCTGGGACGAGGTTTTCGCCAGACGTTCGGAAGATGTTTGTGCCAGGCGTTGTGAGGATGTTTTCGCCAGACGTTGGGACGACGTCTGCGGCAAACGCTGAGAAGACGTCGTGCTGACCGTGGAGCCGGTCTGCGCCAACCGCTGGGACGAGGTCGCGCCGACACGCGAGCCCGTTTGCGAGAGCTTCTGAGACGGTCGTGGCGACAGCGGAACCTCGGACTCCGGCGCAGACTGGCTGGCTGTCGGCGTCACCTCGCCGGAGCGCGCCGCGTCCGCCGACCCGGCCGGCGCCAGGTCGGACAGGCTGCCTGGCGACGCGCCGGCCTCGGCGGCGTCCGTCCGGGAGGCAGGCGCAGACCCGAGCGCGGTGTCGGACGCCGCAGCGCCGGAGGACGGCGCGGCGGCCACGTCCGGACGAGACGCGCCGAACGCAGCAGACGTGCGGCTGCCGGCCGCGGACGTGCGACTGCCGGTTGCGGACGTGCGACTACCTGCCGCGGACGTGCGACTGCCCGTCGCAGACGTGCGACTACCTGTCACTGACGTGTGACTCCCGGCCGCGGACGTGCGACCGCCGGTAGCGGACGTGCGACCGTCCGTCGCAGACGTGCGACTACCTGTCGCTGACGTGTGACTCCCGGCCGCGGACGTGCGACCGCCGGCAGCGGACGTGCGACTACCTGTCGCTGACGTGCGACTGCCGGTTGCGGACGTGCGACCCCCGGCCACGGACGTGCGACTTCCCGTCGCTGACGTGCGACTGCCGGTCGCGGAGAGACTGGCTGGGAGGGCGGAGTCGGTGACGGCGGGCTGGGAGGCGCCGCCGGCCACGCCGCCGCTCGCCGCCGTCGGCAGCTCGCCGAAGGATGGCGCAGGGCTGCCGGCTCCGCCCGCTTCGCTCTCTGACGTCACGTTGTTGCTGGACGGCGTGGCCTGCGTGTACGCGGGCGTCTCGCCGGAGGACACAGCGGACATGTCCGTGTCCGTGGCGGTGCCGCTCGGGGTCGCGGCCGGCGCCTGACCGGACTGAGAACCGCCCAGGTCTGGGGCATTGGCTGAGCTGGAAGCCGTGAGCGGTCCTCTAGATGAAGACTTGGCCAGGCTGGGTGACGAACCTGGGCCATTTGAAGGCGTCTTGGACAAGCTTGAGGCAGATGGGGGACGGGGTCCGTCTGATGGTGTCTTCGCCAGACTTGATGATGCCAACGGTCCCTTTGAAGATGCCTTTGCCAAGCTTGATGACGACAGCGGCCCCTTTGAAGAGGTTCTTGTTATGCTCGAGGTTGGTGTGGAACCCGGGGGCGGTGTGCTATCTGGTGGAAAGCCGCCAATGCTATTCTGGGATGGTCGCGATGGTCCCCTTTGCAGGGTTTGAGAAGATCGAGGTCGCATACTCTGCCTGCTCCCCGAAACTTCCATTTCGCTTCCAGTGGTTGATGCATTGCTAATTTGGGCGGCATCTTCGTCCTCATTTGAAGCTTCAGGGGATTGGCTATCCAGTTGTCCCTGAGAGGGTGACTCTGGCTGATTTTGTGACCCGGATGATGTGACAGAGCGTGCACTGGCAGTCTGGGGCGGAGAATTTGTTGCATCTTTCGCTCGATGACATATCCGTCTATATTGTCTGTTGTAGATTTGTAACGCAGCTTTTCTTAAACGTGTTAGTGCTGAAATGACAAATTCTAAAGCCGTGGATCAATACCAAATCCATATGACTCGCCAGCGTGTAAAAGGGGCTTAAAACCGTCGTTATTATTTGTGAACAGAACAGACGCGTACGAAAGTGACCGTTAACATAATTTGCTTAACTGCAATTTTGTGTCCAATCTACGTCGCTGTTTCAGCGCTTGGAGCTACATTTACTTGAAAATTTGTGCGGCATGTCGTCTGCGTACGAAAGACTCCCGAACGAAAATGGGCATTTGATTTTGGCCGAGTTTTTGCAGGTGAGATTACTGCAGCTCCTCCGGGCTGAGGATTTTCCTCACTTTTGACACTAGATCTTTGCATCTTTAACCCGTCATGGGCTATAGATCCGCGAGCATTCACTCACGTTACACGCCATGTGGGACATCTCTCGCCTCTGTGCCAGGAACAGGTCGCTCGTACTCGCCTTAGGACGTTTGGTGCGGAAACATAAACTTGTGTTGCCAATAACGTATTCGAGGAAGTATCATAATCAACGCCATAACTGGCGAATCTGGCCAACAAAAAGCCACAAGGTCCTATCGAGGTTGACCTATATCAGGTTCCGGTTGACCTACCATGATGGTTTCACCGTTTTCGCAGTTTGCTACACTACTGATCTCGTATACCTGCATGTGAGGGAATAAACACGACATTCTGGCAAGGTGATATATAATGAAATCAAACTATTCGATATGCACTACACCTCCATCTGAAAGACATCGCCACTTGAGAACGGGCTGACTTTTACGATAAATGTTAAATAACGCTCAAGGCCCAGAGGCAGCAACTTTCTTCAAGTCACTGTCTGAATAAGTGGGTGAGATTGCCTATCTGGCCGAGAGTTTCTTGTTTCCAACACAGTTCCGTCAGCACAGTTACGACCTCCCGCGACGTATTTCGCAGGAATCATTGAAGCCGGTCAGCCTCCGGCGAAGCGGGGGGGGGGGGGGGGGAGGGCAGGCGAGCGGTAACACTGACCGGCCCGTGGAAGAGGGGGGGGGGGGGGGTCACTCACTGTCGCTGTCACCTGCGGTAGCACCGACACACAGCTGCATCGATCCAACTGACCGCTTCCGCTGGCCAGTTTGGGAGATACGGGACCTCCCAATCGATATAGATCCCCCCGGCCGGTCACAGCCGGTTTAGAGGGCCTGACTCGGACCCGCGGTCGGTGGTCTGACAGAGTCGGTCTCTGACTCATCTCCAGCGAGTCATGACTCGAACATCGCGTCACTGAAGTTGGGCTGTTGGCGCTGATGTGCCAGCCTCACGGGACCGCAAGTGCTCCGCGTGAGCCACGTGTCGGTTCGCTAGCTTGCGCCACGTCAGCCTCACCGGAGCCACTTTCACATCCGGACCGCACGGCACCACGCCTCCGAGTGCGGCTCTCGCTTCTCCCAGTTCGGTCCACGGCGCGCTCGCATGCTTCAGTTTTGGCTGGGAACACACGTTCTCGCCAGTCAGAGGCCCGGCGCGCCGGCAAGGTGGGCTGCTAGCGTTCGACCCTCCCTGTGGTCAGCCGGGCAGCCACACCTCCTCACCAGTTCTGTCCGAGCACCCTCCGGACACCCTGGCTCTCCCGGGCTGAGACACGAACCGTCGAACACACCCGGGTCGGGCGGCGGTGCCTCAGTCGGCCCACTCGGCCGGGCCTAAGAAGACGGGCTCGCTGAACTCGCGCAGCTGCAGGTACGCCACCAGCGCGTCGGGCAGCGGCAGCTGGGCCAGCCGCTGGGGCAGCGCGCGGCCGCTGCCTCCCACCAGCTGGCGCAGCCGCAGCCGGCACAGCTGCGCCAGCGAGCGCGGCGCGCGCAGCTGCTGCACCAGCTGCTCGTCCGGGTGCTCCAGCGGCGGGCAGCCGGGCGCCAGGCGCGCGCCGCAGGACACCAGCGCGCGCGCCAGCCGGTCGTCCCGTTCGCGCATCGCCCACCAGAGGCTGGAGCGTCCTTCCGGGTCGGCGAAGTCGGTCGGCGCGCCGAGCAGCGCCAGCAGCAGCGCCAGGCGGTGCCAGCTGGCGCTCGGCTGGCGCGCGGCGAGGTACAGCGGGCACTGCTGCCAGCTGTCGGCCGAGGCGAGGCAGGCGCCGGCCGCCACCAGGCGCGCGGCCATGACCTGGCGCCGGTGCCACACGGCCGTCCAGAGCGGCGTGTGGCCATAGAAGTCCGCGGCGCTGAGGTCGGCACCGGCCGCCACCAGCGCCGAGAAGATGGCGTCCTGGCCCAGCCGGATGGCGGTGACCAGCGGCGGCTCGACGCGCTCCAGGGCGTCGCTGCTGCGTCGGTTGGCGTCGGCGCCGGCGGCGAGCAGCGCCGCCACGATGGCCGCATCGCCGCCCTGCTGTGCCCAGGAGAGTGGCGTGCGCTGGCCCTGCAGCTGGGACGGGTCGGCGCCGGCCGCCAGCAGCGCCGTCACGGCCGCCAGGTCACGCCGGCAGATCGCCAGCCGCAGGTCGTTCGGACCAGGCCGCGCCGGCGGCATGACGCTCCAGGTTACGGTCCGGACGGGGCGGGGCGGCGCAGCCCTGTCGTGGTGGTCCACCGATAGGTCACGTGTTGCTCCTCGGGACCATGGCGGGACGCCGAGAGCGGTTACGTAACCCCACAGACGAGACTAGGGCTCGCTTTCCGTCGGAGGACAGGTTCAGCGATTCATTATTGCTTATCTTCGCCGGTTCCAAGACGGCAGTGTTGGCGGACGGCTTTGGTCTCTCCTGGACAAATAACAAACGGGTTTGTCAGATGCCATGTATACTGGTCATCAGAGTGACTGACTGAAAGGGTAGTCACTGATATCGTTGATTACAGACGCATCTCTAACATGGCTGCCTGATAGACCGATCACTTAGAAACGGTCATTGACGCGGGTGACGTGGTGGCGGCTATTACAACAGCTGGCCTGCTTAGGTCATTGACACGGCTAGCCGACTAAAGGGTCCCCGCAGCAGCAGCAGACATGCCGATGGATCAGTGACCCAGCAGACTTACTTCCGGGTCACTGACACGGAAGCCGCGTCAGTGGCCCAGCGGGCTGGTGGCTCGTCAGCACACCGATCCTGGACACTGGTGATGAGAGCACCACTCACCCGTCCCGGTTACCGACGGCACCTCTGCTGACTGCCGAACGAAGCCACGAGGAAGAGGCGCTGTCACCGGTGATGAAAGCACCACTCGCCCGCCCTGGCTACCGACGGCCCCTCCACGGACTACTGGAGGAAGTCGCGAGGAAGGCTGCGCTGTCACCGGTGATGAGAGCACCACTCACCCGCCCTGGCTACCGACGGCCCCTCCGCGGACTACTGGAGGAAGCCGCGGGAAGGAGGTGCTGTCCCGACCCGCCCGTACTGCGACGCTCCTATTAATACCGCCGCAGGCTGGCCCGGAGACACAGCGCCACTCCCGGTAAAAATAGACAGAACCGACGCATCGGCAGCGCCGTGCGCCTCCCCCGCCGACGCTCAGCTGACGGCCGGAGTTTTCGGCGGGGCGTGCTCCGCATCGGGAGCGTGTGTCCTGCGTGTCCGGTGTCCTGAGCGTATCCTGTGTCCTCAGCGTGTCCTGCACTTCCCGTGAGCGGGTGCTCTATGCTGACGCTTGCGATTGGTTGGAAACTAGACGCTGAGGTTCAAGCGTGATTGAGGCAGTGATCAGCTGGCAACAGCCGATGTACATGGTAGCGGCACACCTGCGCGCCGGCGGTCAAGAACTTCCGGCATCGGAGGATTGCCCGCGGCCGGGTGGAGGGGCGCAGATTGGGAGGGTAGGGTATCCGACCAGTGTAGAACTGGAGAGCAGGCCGGCACAGAGCTGCTCTTCATTACATTAGACCGAATAAACAGCTTGCATGGAACGAGTAAGGTGGTGATGTAAGTATACGAGATCTTCCCATGTAACATCGTCCACAAAAGAGCATTCGCAAGCCAGTAATAATGAAGTGCCACCTCTTGAGCCGCCGTCTGGCCGGACTGTGAGAAACTGACCGAGCCTGTCTGCCCCACCGTCCTTAGACAGCGCTAACGCCATCAGCTGATCGTGGCCAGACCGGTGGCCGCGTGTTTCAGTTATTCATGGCTAACGGCTCCAATCTGCGCCGCGCACCCCCCCCCCCCCCCCCCCCCCCACTCTGCCTCAGCCAGTCACTGAATGTTCCCTGCATATATTTGAAAACGAACTCGCTCCATGACCACGCAATTTGCGCAAGCTATTTTGGCTGCCGCTAAACACGGGTTTAACTTTACCTGCAGGTAAAAGGAGGCATGAACGTTTTCCACAATCGAAACGTGAACACTAGAAGAAACGTGCCTGAAACTACCTTTGTCGACCTGGCGGGGATAGCAACGTTTACGGGCAGTAATTGCAACGCAAGGCGTTTCTTTTTTACAGGTCACGAGCACGACCAGGTCAAAGAACGCCTGCCGGAGCGCTTCAGAAACCAGGGCTTGGACGCTGGGTTCACCACACACGAAACGCGGCAACGGATCCTGAAACTCGCTCGTGATTTACTGTTACGAAACAGCTGCGGGTTCACTGTCATGGCTACTTGCTACGGCAAGCCGGCTCATCCAGGACACCGACGAAAAGTGGCTGCAGAAAGCCGGGTCCGTATATTCCGTCAACCGCGAACTTCCAATCACGATTACACAACCACGGACAATGCGTTTCTTGAGACGGCGCAACCCGGCACAAAAACACGTCCTCCTCCGCCTCTCATCCCCCTTCCGGAGCAATCGCAGTCGTATCGCGCTTGCAATCCAAACAGCAACACCACCCTTGACTCGCCGCGCAACCACTGCCTTCCTCACGCCCCAGCGCGCTTCAGGAAAGCAGCCATCCGAGGTCCCATCTCGTCCCGGGCTAGCCATCAGCAGCGGCGACAGAGGGCGTCCCGGCCCAGCGGCATCTGCCGCCGCCCTCCAGCACCGGGAGCCAGCGGCCGGCCGACGGACTGTCCCATCAGCAGAGGGAGGCCCCGTCACACACTCGTCCGCCGTGACCTCCCGGCCGCACCACGTGCTGGCAGCGGGCTGAACTCTGACTCAGAGCCGCGCAAGGCTGGGCTCTGATTAAGCACCGCGCCCGACAGCAGGCTGGACTCTGACTCAGCGCCGCGCCAGACAACATGCTGGGCTCCGACTCAGCACCGCGTCAGGTTGGACTCTGACTCAGCGCCGCGCCAGACAACAGGCTGGACTCTGATTCAGCATTGCGCCAGACAGCAGGCCAGACTAAGACTCAGCACTGCGTCCGACAGCAGGCCAGACTCTGACTCAGCACCAGGCCAGACTCTGGCTCAGCACCGCGCCAGACAGCAAGCTGGACTCCGACACCCGACACTCAGGTCTTGGCAAGGCCGCCATCCCGCCGGAGTCAAGCGGCCGCTCACACGCTGATGGTGCGGAACACGTTGAAGCCGCTGTGAGCGGTGGACAGGAGGCAGCCGGGCGCTTGAGGGTGCCAGTGCAGCTCCTTGACGTCCTCCTGGCCCTGGTGGATGAACAGCAGCTGCGGCGGCAGCTCCTGCGGCAGGGCAAGCGGCATCACCACCATTAGGCTCCCGACCACGACCAGACTAAGACCACATGTACTCTTCCCGGCCAGCATACCGCGTGGCACTACCGTGTACAATCATCACCAGATCAATATAATTTTATGAGCAATCTTCACTGAGACGATGGAAGCATTGATATCAAAGCTTAGGCGTCAGTCAAAGTAAGAACAATGCATGCTGCGTGAGTGCTGCGGGAGCGAGAAAAACGCTGCAGGAGTGAGAACAACATGCAGTGGGAGTGAGAACGATGCGGCAGCGAGCAAACAACGAAAGCGGTGAGCCAGTAGAGACGATGCGCGCAAATCATACATGACACAAGGAGACGGAGGTACCAAAGAAGAAAACCCTAGCGCGAGATGACGTCGGCGTGGCAGTGGGCAGCAGCAGCGCGACGCGTACAGTTCTCAGCCTCCACTCACGTTCAGTTTGGCATCGGCTGCGGCCGAGCTGCCAGCCGCCTCGTCGTCGCGCTCCACCGAGAGGTCCCACTGCACCACCTGGTCGTCGGCGCCGCCGGACGCGAACACGGTGCTGTCCGTCGGGTGCCACTCGACCGTCGTCACGGGCGCCGAGTGGTGCTTGAACAGCGCCACCGGCCGGCCCGACTGCGGCCACGCGGGAGGAGTGGGGGGTCAGGCGCCTCCTTGGTCGTGACCAGCCTCTGTCACACTCACGGCTGCCGCTCCAGCCGGCAGGCGTCGCCTTACAGCCACGCCACCGCACTCGTGTCAGCCGCCCGCGCCGACTGACCCGTGTCGCTCGCGAGGGCGTCCACCATTCACATCCAACCCTCAGCAGGGACACGCACCACCTTTACGGCTACCGGGGTCGCTACCTATTTGCACTAGCGCATTGTGCCGGTAGAGGACAGAGCACAGCAACCCGGCGTCCGAAATGACCTCCAGTCCGGACATTTCCACCGTCCCCACGACCGCTTTGAACATCGAAGCACACGCCGCCGGCACCGGGTCGCCTCACCCTGCAGCGTGCGCAGATCCAGACACAGTTTGCCGTCGTCGCCGCGCTCACGATGAACGGCTCTGTTCGGTTCCAGCTGATGACGTTCACGTCGCTGTCGTGCGCGTCGGGCACGTGCAGCATGCCGGCCTTGGCCGGCGGCGCCCGGCTGTCCCAGATTCGAATGCTGGCGGCGGCACGCGACCAAGGCATCAGCGCCGGCGCGCGAAAGAAACGGAGAGAACGAGGAAGCGACGAGAACAAGAATGAGAACATGGAGCGACGAGAACGAGAATGAAAAACGAAGGAGCGCGTTCTCATCTCGTCTCACTCTCTCTATCTTCTCTCTCTCTCTCTCTCTCTCTCTCTCTCTCTCTCTCTCTCTCTCTCTCTCTCTCTCTCTCTCTCTCTCTCTCTCTCTCTCTCTCTCTCTCTCTCTCTCTCTCTTCGGGGTGCACGGCGCGACACGGTATTCTGCCCGGTGGGAGAGAGCGAACTTGGAACCCCTTCGCTCCTAAACCACGGATCAGGACCATGCCATCACGGGACAGGCAGCCAGCTGTCGAGTGTGACAGAGTGTCTGGGCAAGGGCGTGACCCACATGGCCGTAGTAAAGTGACTTGGCTCTAGGACTCGGGTCTGACTTCGACGCAGTGCCCTGGGTCTGAGCCACCCAGACCCCACAAACCGGCACCTTCCCACCGTCACACCGGCGCCTCCCGCCTGGTGGCGCCGCCGAGCGGCCCGGCGGGACCGCCCCGCACCTTTTGTCGACGGAGCACGACGCGAACACGGTGGCCTCGTTGGGCGACCACTGGATGTCCTCGACAGAGGCCGTGTGCGCGCCGTACGGCCGCTGGTCCACGCGCCACGTGCCGGCCGGGCCCGGCTGCCACACGTGTATGCTGTGGCCGCAGTCGCCTGTCGCCAGCACACCTGGCGAAGTAGAGACCGCGCCTTCTGTCAACAGGGGCGTCCGCGCGCGTGCCGCCGGTGCTCGGAGTGAATGCTTCTCGCAGCACGGAGCGTCACGTGATGCAACACACACGGCGCCTCCAGGGCGACGCGAGCGCCGGTTGACGGTCCCCGAGACCGAGACACCGGCTCGGACGAGATCGCCGGGCAACACCACACCATGCTTTACAGTATCTAGAATCAGTATCTATGGAAGCATCAGTATCTATAGAAGCCAAAGCCGGGGAGTCAATCCCCGTTCACCAACGCCCCCCCCCCCCCCGCCCATCGGCGGGGGGACTATCACTGCGTGCGTCGCAGGGAGAGGAGACGGGAGATTTCCCCCGCGACGGTCCTCACCTGGCGTCACCGACGACCAGTCGACGGCGAACCCCTCCGTCTGGTGGCCCTTGAACGTGAACACCGGCTTGGTGTTCTTGTCCTCCGAGTTGCGGGCGTACAGGGAGGCGGC